TATTAAAAGAAATTTTAAAAATTATTTTTATAGATGAAAAAAATAAATAAATAAAAATTTATAAAAAGTAAAAATTTAAAGTTTTTAAATTTTTATTATTTAAAATCTTTTTAAAATTAAAAAAATATAAAAAAATATAAATTTTTAAAAATATTAAATTTATAAAATATAAATAATATCAAAAAATTAAAACATTTAAAAAATTATATCAAATGGACCCTTAATGATCCACTCACGGCCCTTCTTCATCCTCTCCCCCTATCTCGGACTTCTCACTTTTATCTCTCCTCCGAATGCGCTTGTCTAGCCTTTCCAAAACCAGCACAGAAGTTGGATTCAAATTCACTCCAAATTCATCAAAATCTCTTTTGTGATAATCTCGATATTAAATTATTCTTAGCCAGTAATTATTATTATTATTTTTATTTTTTGGGGGTTTGTATTTGAGTTTGCAGGCTTGATCTCTCTATTGATAGAGCTTCAAAGTTTGAAGATTATTAGAAAAGAAAAGATCCAAGCAACAAATAGAGACCACCCTAGAAAAATTTACATTGCCCAATAATTTATTTAATTTCAGATATACCATGAGCCTGAGCAAGGAAACTATTTCCCTTATTCGTTCAACATGACCGATGATGAGAGGAAAGACAAAAGGAATTTTCAAAGAAAAAAAAAAAGGAAGGGCAGAAACAAGAGACAGAAAGCCATCAGAAGAAACCCTTTTTTCTTTTTTTTTGGAAGGGAAGGAACTGGCTTTTATCGGTTATCAATCCTGATGCTTAAATCTCTCAACTTTTTAACCACGTGTCATCTTTTGAATGGGAAAGTGTCCAAGCGAGTGCTAAAATAAATTTTTTTTTTACTTTTGGGAAAATCATCACTTTTTTGTTTGCAGGTTAATTAAAAAATAATTTTTTAGAATATCTTAATAATTTAATAATCATTATCTCTTTATTAGAGATTTTTATACAAAAGTTAAATGTTAATTTTTGTTTCTTAATTTTAAAGTTTTACACAATTTTTATTTTTTAATTTTTTTATATTTTTTTTGAACCCTTAATTATGAAAAGTATATTTTTTTAAATTTTTTGTCAGTTAACTTGTTAAATTTATCTAAATTTATATATTTTTAATCTTTAACTTTAAGTTGAGAGATAAAAAATATGCATATATTAAAAATTAAAAACGTGTAAATTCAGATAGATTTAATGAATTAATTAATGAAATGACTAAAAAAATACTTTTTTCATAGTTAAAGAATTAAAAAATACAAAAAAAAATTAAAAAATAAAAATTATGTAACATTTTAAGTTAAAGGATCAAAATTAACAATTAACCTTATATAAATTTAGAAGTATGGAATTCGACTCCATTCTGACGTTCAAAAAAAAAAATGAAGTGACAATTTTTAGGCACAAAAATTAAGATAAAATGTAGCTAATTATATAAAAAAATAATTTGAAAAGTAATTAATTATAAATAAATATAATGTATTATGACAGAGTAAAAAACTTTCTAAAGTTTATTTCGAGATGCGTAATTGATTTTTCTTTTTTTTTTTTTTCTGTACGACCATTCAGTATCCAGAAACTTATTGTGCTACTGACTAATCCGGATTCGAGTTGGGTATGACTCAATGGGCGGCAAAACTCTCCCTCATGACTTTTAACGAAACTGCATTCCCAGGATTTGAATTCAAGACTTCTGATTAAGTTGGAAGAGTCCCAATCAACTCATCCACCCGCTTATGGGTATTGATTTTTCTTTTATTTAGTTGATTATTTTATATTATTGAATTAACCATAAAATTTAGCCCTTTTAATGTGTATATCTTCGCTAACGTTCGCACAGAGACCTTCTAACCATTTTATCCATATTTGCGAATTGCATTCCAATTTTATCACCTTAATACTAAAGATACCCTCTCTTTCTACCAAAAGAAAGGAGAATAAAACAGCAAAACTCATGTTAAGTTCTCAAATTAATTCTAAATTTTTAATTAAGTCTCTAAATTTTTATTAAAATAAATAAATCTCTAAATTCAATAATTTAGTAAATTCAACCTTCTGTCTTGTGACAAACTTAATACTCGTTTGTACTTTATTTACATAGACAAAGTCAACACTCTCTATGTAAACAATTACACATTAATATTTTATTTATGTAAATGAGGCACAAATAAAAGTTACTATAAAGATAAAGGTTAAATTATCTAGATTAATAATTTTAAGAGTTTATTTACTTAAATATAAATTTAAGAGATTAATTAAGAATCTAAAATAAATTTAAGTACTTAATGTAAAATTTTGGGCTTAATTTAATTTTTGGTCTATTAACTATTACCTTAATTTCATTTTAGTTTAGAAAGTTTATTTTCTTTCTAATAGTCTATAAATTTTGAAAATATTTCAAAATAGTTTACCGGTACAAAATTTTGTTAGATTTAACAAAAAAAGTAATCCTTTATGTTTTGAAAAAATAACACTATAATCTTAATAAAATATAATAAGTCAAGAAATATTTTATAGAAAAAGATTAGTTAAAATTTGTAATAAACTTGAGCAACTAGTTTGTTTTACAAGGTAAATTGTATGTAGTCTATCTTAAAAAATTATTTAAATATTCTTGAAAAAATAATATAAAAATAAAATTAAGAACATTTAAATAATTTTACAAGACAAATTGCATATAGTCTGCTTTGTGAAACAATTTTCTGAATAACACATTAAGTAAGATGAGATTAAAAACTATTTTTACGGTGAATATAAATTTAAGAACTAAAATATCAAAAGAAATATAGTTAGAGGACTAAATATTTTTTAGGGAATAAGAACATTCCGTTATTTTTAACAGACATTTATGTTAAAGATAACAGATTAGATAAAATTAAAATAAATACAAAAGATAATAGATAAGATTAAAAAAATTTAAAGATAATAAATAAAATTAAAAAACATATGAAAAAAATATAAAAATTAATAAATAATTTGTTAAATTAACCCAAAATTTTGCCTAAAAGATAAATTCCAAAAGCTTTAGAGTGGGACTGGA